TTGGAGAAACAGTACCTCATTATTGGTATTAGTGGGAGGAATAGTGCCCCATCATTGGTATTAGTTGGAGGAATAGTACCCCATCATTGGTATTAGTTGGAGGAATAGTACCCCATCATTGGTAATAGTTGGAGGAATAGTGCCCCATCATTGGTATTAGTTGAAGGAATAGTACCCCATCATTGGTATTAGTGGGAAGAATAGTGCCCCATCATTGGTATTAGTGGGAGGAATAGTGCCCCATTATTGGTGCCCCATCATTGGTGACAGTAGGAGGAATAGTGCTTCATCATTGGTATTAGTGGGAGGAATATTGCCCCATCATTGGTATTAGGGGGAAGAATAGTACCCCATCATTGGTGACAGTGGGAGGAATAGTGCCCCATCATTGGTATTAGCTGAAGGAATAGTACCCCATCATTGGTATTAGTTGGAGAAACAGTACCCCATTTTTGGTATTAGTGGGAGGAATAGTGCCCCATCATTGGTATTAGTTGGAGGAATAGTACCCCATCATTGGTATTAGTTGGAGGAACAGTACCCCATCTTTAGTATTAGTGGGAGGAATAGTGCCCCATCATTGGTATTAGTGGGAGGAATAGTGCTCTATCATTGGTATCCCATCATTGGTGACAGTGGGAGCAATAGTGCTTCATCATTGGTATTGGTGGGAGGAATATTGCCCCATCATTGGTATTAGGGGGAAGAATAGTACCCCATCATTGGTGACAGTGGGAGGAATAATGCTCCATCATTGGTGTCAGGGGAAGGAATAGTGCCCCATCATTGGTATTAGTTGGGGGAATAGTTTTGACAGATTATGCATACCACTGAAAGAATTGTTTTCCGTGTCAAGACTAAATTCTGATGGGGAATGGAAAGGCTCACTGGAAGTACAGGTGCACATTATATAACTGTATTCAACAAGGTGCTGTGAACACAGACAACCACAATTTAATCTGGAAGCCCTTTATAAACAACGCACTCAAGCTCATTATGGAGCTCACAATCCCCCGAGTTCTCTGCTAATTATATCTCGCTGTTCTATGTCATATATTTTGTTTGCTACTAATAATTTACCTTCTCAGCCTTCTTTTCAAAAGACCTGAGAATACAAAAGTTCCATTTTCCCTCAACAAAATAGCAGCAGCTCTGTTGCCCATTAACAGTAAATTGTTTGTCTGCCTCCTCACTCCTCTGGGTGCTGAGGCTTATGTCTTATGAAATGAGAAATAGAAATGGGAGCGTGTCATTATAAACAATGTACAAAAATAGAAGCCATACAAACAGAATTAAATGCATTTACATTTTATCAGAACACCAATAAGGTGAATTATAGGCAAGGCTACTTGAAAAAATGTTTTCAGTTTTCAGTAGTTGCTGCCATGCGGAATTCAACCTAATTTAGGTAGAGCTCTTTAAACCAAGGTTCCCAGCTCCGCCCACCTGCTACAGCCATAATGGGAGCAAGGGAGTCTCAATCTCTATTTAGTATGTTTCACAATGCAAGATTTAGATTTCTCCAGGTGCATTTAAGTATTACTAAACCCAGGACCCTGCATTCACTATATCTCGTCTTTCACAGTACACAGAACATGGGAATGCAATTATTTTAGTAAATATAAACTGCTAAATACCTTTTCTCATCAGCAGTTAGAGCAGTCTTGTGACTTCTAGCAGTGTCCAGCTGAGCACTGGTTAAAGCTTGTAGAAGGAGTTTTCTTTCTCCCCTGATTGTCTTATGAGGGTGCATAAACCCTGACCCTCTGTCTGGACAGTGCTGATTGGCCCTGTGCTGATCACATGCACCCTTCTGAAGAAAAACAAAATTCTCTAGCAATACACACTAAATTGAGCATGTGCACAGTGTCTCCTAGGGCTCTGTCAACAGTAAATCATATCTATCACCTATCTATCAATTATCAACAGGAAAGTTGACTGGATTAGAAGCAGTAGAAGATGGAGAGGATCCGAGACCATGGGATCAAGCAGCCTTTTTACACAATATGAAGGGATTAACCCCTTAGGTTCCACAGTGAGTATAACAAGCATGATTTACTGCATATACAGACTGATTTTATTGATGTGGGTTTAGAAAAAGAGAAGTCCATCTTTATGACCCTGTTTCATGTTACACCCAGTGGTCTTTCACCCAACACTTTCAGAATGCTGCAGAACTACAAGTCTCTTCTGCCACTACTAATTCATTACGCTGTCAGTGGTGAGCACAGGAATCTCCATATACTTAGCAGAGGTTTCCTCATATTATTTCCTCTTGTGATCGAATGTTCTAAGTCTGTAGTGTTAGGCTTGTAAGCGGGTGCAGTTAGCTATTCTGCCACTAAGTGTCCAGAATAATGTCTGGTTACAGAGAATAGTGTGATTAGGTGCTAGGTTCCTTTTAGTTAGAGCCCTCCTGTAGTAATGTCATGGGTGAGTCAGTGCTCATATACTGTATAAGTCATGTTTTGAGGACCCCTTGGCCAACTGGGGCATGGGAGCCAGAGACCTCACCATCAGGCAACTGTAGTTAGCTAGTGGAGGCCCTGGACACTGGAGGACAGAGAGTTACCCTCCCTTGACTTGCTGTAAACTTTCTTACCCTTATAGTGGTGGAGGCTAGGGTGGGTTGCTAAAGGTCTTTTATGCCAGGCCAAGTGTTCCCTGGAGTGAGTCTATTCCTCTGCACCTGAGGACCTAGGAGAGGTGTACCCAAGCCATAGGTGACTGCAGTGATCCTGTCTAAGAAAGGCTACCTGAACACAGGAGCAGTGACCTGAACACAGTCAGCTCAAGGTGAACCAAAACCCTCTGACTGAGTACTAATGACCCTTGGTGGAGAGCAAGTGAGTAGGGAAGATGGATTAATAAAATATGCTGTGTGCTGCTTTCACATGTGACTGCTGCGAATCCTCCAGTATATGTGACTGACAAAGTACTGTCAAGTGATCCCAGATAGCATGTCGATGTGGTGTGACTGAGAATGCCATCTTTAAAGTAGCATCAGTAAATAGATGGATGGAAATCTAGTTGGTTCAGCACAGACCAGCCGATTTTTGATCCATGTGTTTCTGCCTCCTGCTTGACAGAAGCCAGTCGTCAGATAGACTTCTGTCGATTTGGGAAAGTCAGAAAACTTTTCTCGATCAGCAGCTGCAGCCCCTGATCATTGTATTTTGATGGCGAAGACTCAGATTACAACGTCCTGGTGTGGGAGTTCTCCGCATTCCACCCCACTTGTGTGGATGGAGGGATCCACTTTTTTTTCTTCTTTTGTTCTGTTCAGCCAGTGACCCATCTAGAGGCTAGGTTTAGGCTATTTTCAGTATTGGTTAAATGTTATTTACCTCTTCTGCTGGAATATTTTTAAGGCTATTTTCTGTTACGTTCGAATGTTAGGGAATGTTACTATCATCCTACAAGTAGAAACTGAGATTTCACACATATTACAAACACAGTGGGGTTGATTTACTAAAGGCAAATAGACTGCGCCATGTGCAAGTGCAGCTACACTCATCTTCCCCGGAACTTAGTAAATGTGGTAAAGCTATGCAGATTTTCATCATCCAATCACGGGCAAGCAACAATCCTGGATTTTTTTTTATTATCCATGCACCTAATTGGGGATTCTTTACAAAGTGAAGCGTTAACACATTTACTAAGCTCTGGGGAAAATGAGTGCAATTGCACTTCCAAAGTGTGCAGTCTATTGTCCTTTAGTAAATGCACCCCTATGAGTATTATTCATGACTTTTGGGCAAATGTTGAGACATTGCAAATTTTTTTGAAAATAAACCCCTAAGAGAACTTCTTAGATTGTGTACTATAAATTCCCTTTAAGCTAAAATTATAATTAAAACATTGCAAAAACCTATGTCACTTAAGTAACTGCTGCATTTTTTTGAAGACCCGCTAACATACAAATACATTACGCGTTTCAAGTAGTATAGCGGGATGATGCCTGCAGTTGCAGCCATCTTGGTGGAATCATTTTATTCAGCATGCGGCTGGTATTTTTGAATTGCTTTTACAGATGGTGGGAGGGTCCACCAGAGGTCCCAGAACTGAAGCCAGTGGTTCGAAGGCTTACCATAGAGCCTATGAAGAACCAAACGTTCTCAGATGAGCTCTATAGTATAGGAAACGAGAAACGACTACTACCGTGGTCACTTCCAGTTTCCTGGAAAGTACACATCGCCATTTTTTAAATCTTGAAAGCATTTGATACACTAATCTTGGTGTGGTTAGATGCTTTTCTGGCTGAGGAGAGGTATGGGGTCTAATAGACCCCAGATCTCTCCATAAAGAGCACCTGTCTGCTGTCACAAGTGATGTTTACATTCCTTGTGACAGCAATAAAAGTGATTGAAAGAAATGAAAGAAACAGAGTAAAAAAAAAAAAATGAAAAAGGCGAACGCACACGTTGGTACTGTATGCATATGCAAACAGCAATTGCACCACACATATGAGGTATTGCCACAAACGTCAGAGCAAGAGCAATAATTCTAGCATGAGACCTCCTCTCTAACTCTAAACTGGGAACCTGTAAGGGAATATAAAGTGACATTTATGGAGATTTTTAACCACTTGCCCTCCAGAGAATTTACACCCATTCCTGATCAGACCGTTTTTGGTGATACGGCGTTGTGTTACTTTAACTGACAATTGCGTGGTCATGCAATGTTGCATCCAAATTAAATTTAAGTCACTATTTTTGCCACAAATAGAGCTTTCTTTGGGTGGTATTTGATCACCTGTGCATTTTTAATTTTTGCGCTATAAACAAAAAAAGACCGACAATTTTGAGAAAAAAACAATATTTTTGACTTTTTGCTATTAATCGCCTCCCGCCCGCCATATAAGGTGATGATGGGTGCAAGGCGGTTCTCTCGTTCTGGGAGGATGTCATATGACATCCTCCTATTCTAATCGAGCATGCACGGCTCCTTGAGTGTGCAGCACGGCGATCAGCGATGCGCTGTGTCTCTCGGACACAGTGGATCACCGATCAACGGAAAGAGCCGAAGATGTCGGCTCGGTCATGTGATCAGCTGTGTCCAATCACAGCTGATCACATGTAAATAGGGAAATGCCAGTTATCGGCATTTCTCTCCTCACGAGCTGTCACGCTGACAGCTCGAGAGGAGAGGAGAACCGGTAATCGGCATTCCTTGGAGGGGACATGGGCACTGATCATCAGGGCACTGATGATCAGTGTGCCCTGATGATCAGTGTGGCCCCAGAAGTGCCACCTGTCAGTGTCCATCAGTGCCAGTTGTCAGTGCTCATCAATGCCACCTGCCAATGCCCATCAGTGCTTCATCAATGCTGCATATCAGTGCCTACCAGTGCATATCAATGCCACATATCAGTGCCCATCTAAGCTGCCTTTCAGTGTCACCTATCAGTGCCAATCAGTGCCAGTCAGTCCCGCCTATCAGTGCCAGTCAGTGTTGCCTATCAGTGTGTATCAGTGCCCCCTATCAGTGCCCATCAGTGCCACCTAACAGTGCCAGTCAGTACCAACTATCAGTGCCAGTTAGTGCCACCTATCAGTGCCAGTCAATGCCAACTTTCAGTGCCATATATGAGTGCTGCTTTTCAGTGCCCATCAGTGATGCCTGTCAACGCCCATCAGTGGCACCTATTAGTGCCTCCTCACCAGTGCCCATCAGTGCCGCATATCAGTGCCCATCACTGCAGCCTCATTAACACACATCAGTGAAGGAGAAAAATCACTTATTTACAAAATTTTATAACAAAAACTAAGAAAAAGAACATTTTTTTTAAATGTTCAGTTGTTTTTGGTTTGTTTAGCAAAAAATAAAAAACCCCAGAGGTGATTAAATACCACCAAAGGAAAGCTCTATCTGTCTCAAAAAAATGACAAAAATTTCATATGGGTACAGTGTTGCGTGACCGCGCAATTGTCATGCAAAGTGTGACAGCACTGAAAACTGTCCTGGGCCGGAAGGGGGTATAAGTGCCTTGTAGGCTAGCGGTTAAACATGTCCAGTAAAAATATAAAATTTTGTCATAAATTTAGGCCGAAATGTATTCTGCTACATGTCTTTGCTAAAAAAAAATCCCAATACGTGTAAATTAAGTGGTTTACTTGACAGTTATAGCGTTTACAAATGGCGGTATAGATACTGCAATTTTATTTGTTTATTTTTTTAGTAGTAATAACGGCGATCAGCGACTTATGGTGGGACTGCGGCGGGCATTCTGACACTGGGGGGAACTGACTTTGTGTCTCTGACATCCCCAGTGACACCAATACAGTGATGAGTGCTAATAAAAAGCACTGACACTGTACTAATGGCACAGGGCAAGAAGGGGTTAACATATGGGGCGATCAAAGGGTTAACTGTGTGCTGTGTGTGTTTTACTAAGTGTGCTGTGTTTCACTGTAAGCACACTGTTTTGTATGGCTCTGCTATGCAGAGCCATACAAAGCAGTGTGCAGGAGCTGACAGGGGAGAGATCTGTGTTTTCGGAGATATTCAGTGATCACAAGGTACCGGCGAGAAATCACCGGCCGGGACCCAGTGATTGACAGCCGGGGCCATGAATGGCGGCGCAGGTAGGGCACGCACCCCCCCACCTGGAACTGCAAAATCACATACATACATGATTTCGCGCACCCGTGCCACCATGTAGCAATATTTCTGCTACAGGGTGGTGCGGAAGCAGTTTTAAAGTGGAGTTCCACTCGACCTGTCAAAAAATAAAAGTCAGCAGCTACAAAAACTGTAGCTGCTGACTTTTAAAAAACAGCCACTTACCTGTCCCTCAATCCTGTTGTGTGTCCCCCTCAGCCCGTTTCACCAGCCATCCTGTATTCCAGGAGGCCAACATCTTCAACGTGGGCACCCGGATGTGACAGCTTGCGGTTCACAGCCGGGTACTCACTGCGCATGCGCGAGTAGCACTGCACTTCCTGAATGGCCCTGTAGTCTTCTGGGACCTGTCACGTGTTCCAAAAGACTACGGGGAGGGAGGAAGGTAGGACACCTTCCGTTTCCGATTGCCTAGGCCAGGGGTCTGCAACCTTTAAGACATAAAGAGCCACTTGGACCCGTTTCCGAGAGGGAAAAAAAAAGACTGGGAGCTGCAAAACCATTGCAACATTTAAAACAAATCCGACACTGCATATATTGCAAAAAGCGCTCTGGTCATGAAGGGGGTTTAAGGGCCCAGTAAGCAAAGGGTTAATCAAGGCCACAGTGTATCGTCATAATCACAATCATAGCCTTAGGTCAGTGGTGGGCAACCTTTTTTTTTCAACTGAGCCAAATCTCGCCAAAACCACGATTGAAAGTTATTTTGAGAGCCACATTTTAAAAACTGAAAATACATCCCCCATAGTAATTCATCCCCCATTTAGTAATTCATCCCCCATAGTAATTCATCCCCCATATAGTAATTCATCCCCCATATAGTAATTCATCCCCCATAGTAATTCATCCCCCATAGTAATTCATCCCCCATATAGTAATTCATACCCCATATTAGTAATTCATCCCCCATAGTAATTCATCCCCCATATAGTAATTCATCCCCCATAGTAATTCATCCCCCATAGTAATTCATCCCCCATAGTAATTCATCCCCCATATAGTAATTCATCCCCCATAGTAATTCATCCCCCATATAGTAATTCATCCCCCATATAGTAATTCATCCCCCATATAGTAATTCATCCCCCATAGTAATTCATCCCCCATTAGTAATTCATCCCCCATAGTAATTCATCCCCCATATAGTAATTCATCCCCCCTATAGTAATTCATCCCCCATATAGTAATTCATCCCCCATATAGTAATTCATCCCCCATAGTAATTCATCCCCCATAGTAATTCATCCCCCATATAGTAATTCATCCCCCATATAGTAATTCATCCCCCCTATAGTAATTCATCCCCCATATAGTAATTCATCCCCCATAGTAATTCATCCCCCATATAGTAATTCATCCCCCATAGTAATTCATCCCCCATATAGTAATTCATCCCCCCTATAGTAATTCATCCCCCCATTTAGTAATTCATCCCCCATAGTAATTCATCCCCCATATAGTAATTCATCCCCCATATAGTAATTCATCCCCCCTATAGTAATTCATCCCCCATATAGTAATTAATCCCCCATATATAGTAATTCATCCCCCATAGTAATTCATCCCCCATAGTAATTCATCCCCCATATAGTAATTCATCCCCCCTATAGTAATTCATCCCCCATATTAATTCATCCCCCATATTAATTCATCCCCCATATTAAGTCCCCAAGTCCCCCCTGTGTCAATTCACTTACCTTTGCTCCGCACGTTCCTCTCGCCGTGTTCCCGCGCCGTTCCGGTGTAGCATGAAAATCTGTCTCCTATGAGGATCTGTCCCCCTCGACGTATCTGCGCATGTGCCAGTTTCAGGCATTAGCAGCCGATCGGCGATCTCCGGCACATGCGCAGATACGTCGAGGGGGACAGATCCTCATAGGAGACAGATTTTCATGCTACACCGGTCTTCATGCGGACTGTGAGAGGAGCCTAGCGGGAGCCTAGCTCCGCGGGCCGGATTAAAAGGTCCGCCGGGCCGTATACGGCCCACGGGCCGTAGTTTGCCCATTGCTGCCTATTGCCTGTCACCTGGTGGACAGTGTGCTCCGGAGCCGCAGCCAAGGTGAAAAAGAGCCGCATGCGGCTCTGGAGCCGCGGGTTGCCGACACCCGGCCTAGGCGGAAGTGGGAGCGGGTACCTGTCAAATTCGGGTGCCTGCTCCCCCCCCCCCCCCCCGCTCCTTAGACCGGAACTTCGCCTTTTGGGTGGAGCTCCACTTTAAATACCATAGTTTGGCGCCATTCCACAAGTTTGCACAATTTTAAAGCATGACATGTGTGGTATCTATTTACTTGGCGTAACATCATATTTTGCATTTTTACAAAGCAATGGGTATTATATTGTGTTTGTGCGCATTAAAATTCATGAAAGTGTAATCTTTCCCAAAAAATTTGCATCTGAAAAACCGATACGCAAATACTGTGTGACATAAAAAATTTTCAAAACCCACCATTGTATTCTCTAGGGCCTCTACTACAAATATATATATATATATAATGTTTTCAGGTTTGCAAGTACCTGTCATTTTCTAGCAAAAAATGCAAATTTTAAATGTAAAAAAAGTGTCAGAAAAGGCTGGGTCCTTAAAGTGTTACTAAACCCCGGACACTGCACTCACTATATCTGGTCTCCCACAGTACACAGAACATGGAAATGCGATTATTTTAGTAAATATAAACTGCTAAATACCTTTTCTCATCAGCAGTTAGAGCAGTCTTGTGAATTCAGCAGTGCACTGGTTAAAGCATGTAGGAGGAATTTTCTTTCTGATCTAGGAGGATGTGAAACATCTGACCTCTGTCTGGACAGTGCTGATTGGCCCTGTGCTGATCACATGCACTTTCCCAAGAAAAAAAAAAACTATCTAGCAATACACACCAAACTGAGCATGTGCATGTGACTTCTGATTCAGTCTGCATTAGGTGGTCATTTCTGCAAGAGAAGGGACAGAGATCAAACAGCCTTTTTACACAATGCAGAGGATTAACCCCTTAGGTTCCACAGTGAGTATAACAAGCATGCTTTACTGCATATACACACTGATTTTACTGTTGTGGGTTTAGTAACACTTTAAGTGGTTAAGTTCCACGACCCCTGTGCAGCTCAACAGTCCACCGTTCCTCTTTGTGCGCCTGTATCTTGGCAGTAGGTGCATGTTTCCTCTATGGCCAGTTACAGAGGAGGTGGGCGGTACAAAAGCTGAAGCAGGTCTTAGGAAGTGATGGTGGCACATCATGGCGTGACAACACTGCCGCGGCATGCAAAGCATAGAAAAGGTGGCATTATCACCTTTATACAGCAAATGATGGGAATTTATGAAGTTATCTTTTCTGTTTCTAGATGCTGCGGGCCTGGAGACAGAAAAGATCTCCAACAAATAAACTAATACAAGGGACATGAGAACATTTTTGTCAGGGTTTAGATATATTTTAATAACTTTGGATAAATTATTATTATTATTATTATTATACAGGATTTATATAGCGCTAACAGTTTGCTCAGCGCTTTACAATATAACGGGAGACAATACAGTAACAATACAGTTCAATACAAGAGGGAAAGGAGGGCCCTGCTCCTTGGAGCTTACAATCAAGGAGGGAGGGGCTAGTGGTACAAAAGGAAGTAACTTTGGGAGATGGACTGGTTGGAAGAGTAGAAGATTCCATTATTAGTTGAGGGCAGGATAGGCTTCCCTGAAGAGATAGGTTTTCAGAGATCACCTAAAAGTGAACAGAGTAGGCGATAGTCTGATAAATTGGGGTAGAGAGTTGCAGAGGATGGGGGAAGCTCTGGAAAAGTCCTGGAGACGAACATGGGAGGA